CATCCCCCAAAAAAAAAAAAGGGCTTTCTCCATGAAAATTGGGTTTGATATGGAACAACTCTAAATTCAAGGAAAGCTGAATCAACTTCACAAGTCAACTTGATATCAACCTCTGTCCCACTTGGCAAGGGGAAAGATCAACTTGTTGTGAAAACTATATAAGGCTGTGAAACACATTGTCAGTTAATGCAGTTTAAAATAATGCCTCCAACAATCAACAGTCCCAAAGTCCTCTGAAGCATAAAAGAAACTAGAGAGGAAGATAAAATTTGGTACAGAACCTTGTGCTCATCGGTATGTGAATGACACGAATTTGATTTGGAGTAAGAAACTGATACAAGTACTTGAAACAAGATATAGTTAATGGGATTAAAGGCTTCAGAAGCAAGGTGGCATTGATGTCAATCAACCAGTGGTGGAGAGATGGTCAATAATGCTATGAAATGTGGGGAAAAACATTTCTACGTTTCAGGGCAACCACGTGTAGGAGAGTGTTATGTGTTTTAGGCGTCAGCCATTATTTTTATGGAGGCCTCGATAACTTGAAGAGACAAGATATGGACTTTGGTGCAACACTTACACCAAACACCAAACAAGAAGGCACTTCGCATACAAGAAACTCATGTTGAAGTGGAGGTCAAAAAAGATCCAACCAAGTGTAAACTTTTAAGAAAGCAATGAAGAAAAAATTGTACCTAATTGCTTTCTTTCTTGCAATGGCCTACATACACTCATAGTGTCACACCTTTCACATATCACAATTTCCATCTTACATATTCTTTCTGCAACTTAAAAAGCATTCTACATTTTCTTTTCCATGAACAAACATTAAGTTTATCTGAGATAAGTTTCCTCTTATCACATTAGTTTTAAAGTCCTGTCTAATGTAAAAGAAACCATACAAGCATGCATATCAGCTCAAATGTAAGTAATGTAAAAGAAACCAAACAAAAAAGTTTCCATGATACCTACGTTCGCTCTAGTGCCTTGTATCTAGCATGAAAATCTCCAGGAATGCATCGAACATCAGTCACCTTTATATCACCTTCCTTCTGTAATCAACCAAAAGACAAATTAAGAACAACTTAAGGCCTATTGAAGAAAGATCTGACAGGCATTTCCACCTGAATGAACAACTAAATTTGCAATCATCAAAGAACTAATAGTCTTGCCTGCAAAAAATGGTTTACGGCCCGTCTAACAACTCCAGGTTCATGTGGTGTTAACTGCACTCGAAAAAAGCGTGACAGTTACTCATTTCCAATAGCATTATAAAGAACAAATCAAACAATATTTAGGATGGGAAGTAACGTGAAAATTGATAAACATTTTACATACTCATAAATTGATAATTACGCAACGTACATGTAGTGAGAAAATCATGTCGCCAAGAAACATGCAAATTTCAGCAATATAAAAATAATTCATAGCTAAAATGAAGACAAGAGACAGTGGAATGTTTTATTAATAATATGAATATTATATCACAATTTTATAGAAGTATGAACTACATACACCATGATAATGTCTTCACAAGCACTAAACTGCTAGATAGTATGAAACAATAGTAATCTTGAAATACTTAATCATTATCATCGCCATCACAATCATACAGCTTTTCACTGATGAAGTTGGTTGAGGAAGTGCAAGAAAGAATAGACCAAAATTTCTGTTCTTGAGCAAAATTTCTAACTGGCTATCAACCTAAGATATATACTTGATGCATTGATGTCATTCCTAGGCTCTACCTGGAGATAAGTACAAGCAAGTGACCTCAACTATAGATCCTTAAAAGGAAGTTGGTGACTAGATAGACCACCCTTTTTGTTCGTGCAATTTAAACAACCAAAGGGATAGCCACAAATTTCTACTAGACTAGTCTTGACAAAGAGATCAGGATTTGTTGTAAGGATTTTATTTATCTACTAAAAAATGCACCAAAGAGAAAATGAACTCGCACATAACTTGGGTCCTGCTTCATAATAATGCTGAAGATTTTATTTCCAATTTTCCGGGGGAATTTCTTGTAAATGTTTTTCCACTAATAAGGAAATGAGTTGTTTGGGTCCTCATTATGACAAAATAGTCCAATACATGATTAAGAAACACGAGATACGGTCTTCTCTTCATATTCTAAGTCATAGTTGCATGGGACCCCATTCGTTCAAGTTCACGAGATAGGAATGGGAGCATGATATGCCGCTCATTAGGAATTAGGTATCAGGGGGTAGGCTTATAGGGTACACAAGGAAATGCGGTATGTTTAACATTCGGTTCTTAAATGTAGGAATTGAGGTTTTGCAAGAGTTAAGTTTTAGAAATATGTAAAAGAACCTTTGAGAATCATGATGCAATTACTACTTTATTTAATTTCTCATGTTGTTGTTATTCTTTCAAAGAAGAGTTATTTTTCCAAAATTTTAACTGGTTTAAGTTCCAAGTCAGGTAGTTGGTGTTCCACTGAGAATCCGAGATGACTGAACGCAGGTGAGGGGTTGCGGTTCGCTATAGCGTCTGACATTCTCGACATCAATCTTCTGAGTTCTATAGTTGATGTACAATTTACATGGAACTGAAAGAGAAAACATTATGAAACCAAAGAACATCTATCCAAACAGAAATAGAGAGCTGCAAGAGTAATCATGGAATTGGTCAAACTCACCACTTCGCCGGGCTTTCTTTTACTTATGCGCTCCACATCAACATGGCAGACATTGCACAAAGCATGCACCCCTGAGTCCTGACTTAACAAAGATCTGAGTGTCATATAATGCACAAACTAAAACATTGTACAAGACCACAAAACAAAATGAAAGAAATTAACTTGCAAAAGCAAACTAAAAGTTTTCAGTAATTTAAATCATGGATGGCCCCTATAACATAATGAGGATAAATTTGACTACCATAAACAAACAAGAGAAAGAAGCAACTGGCCATCGCAAAACATCCCGAGTTTCCTTAGGTTCAAATCTAAAGATCAAAAACATGTTAGCTTATAATGACGTTTGGGTTTAGCATTAACAGATGCCCTGAATTGAGCGAGTGAAGTTTCTCGCACTGTCAGAAGTTAACTCCAGCAAGGTGGCATATAGATCCAGTATAAAAAGCACTGCATAAGTTAAGAAACAGTTAAAGAGATTAAAAATGTGTAGAAGTCAAATAAGAGAAGAGAAGAGCCACGCGTTCTGAGAGGAATCTGAGAATCCATAGACCTGTACCAAATAAAGATTTTTGCATATTGGACACTACCAGAAACATAAATCACTGAAAGACCCTAAAACAAAAAATTTACAGAATGTCAGAAACTGATTTCATGCAACTAGAAGACCCTTATTATATTTAGAAGACACACATTAGAAAAAGAAAGGTTGGGATAAGTAATGAAACGTAGTAACCCACCCAAATCTTGGATGGCTTTTATATACAACTCTTCTTCCAAATAAGTCACTGATATTCTTAAATATTGTTATCAATTGAAAACAGTCACATCATAACAATATATCTAACCAGTTAAAGAGCTCAAATATATTATCCATGGGTCATCTAAGGGGGGCAAAGAAACTACATCTCTGTGGAACCTAAATAAATCAGTCACTTCACTGTGGTGCAGTCTATCTGAATCCTATTTTCTTGAAAGCCCAAGCTATGTTGCTGATGCATCCATGAGTTGAATCTCAATGCAGTGGCTACCTCATCGTATCATTGTTCATAAAAGCAAAAGTTTGATCTGATTGAATAATGTCTTTCTCAATTTGTTCTTGAATAGAAAACACATAAGTACACCTAATACCAACTTTTATGAAACCCGAAGAAGCAAAGCTAATGTAGAGGATAAATTATTTTTTCGGAGGTGGGGTGGTGGGAAGGGAGGGTAGATGTGATACCCTAAAAATTTTAATACCACATCAGAAGATGAGAAAACAGTAGTAGGGTTTATAAGATAAGTCATGATATTTTAAGTGCATCAATGGATAGACACTTTTTGGCGGTGTTTTGAGCCAAGCAATACACTCAAGGAGTCAGGAAATACATCGCGCCAATGGGCTGACAGCTTTGGGATGTGACAAATGATATCAAAGCAGTTAGGGTCGGTAGTGTGGAACTAAGTGATAAGTTAGTAAGTGCTACATTGTAGAAGCACGACAGGAAGCCAACTCTAGAATCCACATTTTTTGGTGGTTATACTGACATGGAGTGTTGTTATGCCCATTGTTTTAAATATCCCCGACATGGCCCGATATATCCCCGATATATCCTTTTACAGGGCTTGCCGCAACCGACATGGTCTTTAAATATCTTTTACCATTTTTTAGCTATTTTGAGTGATAAATCCCCGATATGGCCGATATATTAGCCAATATGTGGACCAATATATCTTTTTATATAGCTTGTTGCAAAATAATATACCGCGTTTGGAATTTTTGGGTATCTTTTTATATAGCTTGTTGCAAAATAATATACCGCGTTTGGAATTTTTGGGCGAGATATCAAGATTTTCCCATTATATCAAATGACATTTTGCCCTAAAAAAACAGATCGAATGTTGCAACGTTGCTTTGCACTTTTGCTTGTTTTAGAAGGTTGATTAGTGATCCTAAACATATATTATTCATATTTTGTATGCTTAAATTTTATTACATATGTTGAGATTACATTTTAATGCATTATGTATGCAAACATTCACTATGGCATTCCGATATTTACCATATATTCCCGATATTTCCCTGATATCCGCAATCCGATATGAATTTTGGCCATCCGATATTTTCCCGATATCCGATATTTAAAACCTTGGTTATGCCACAACAGGAATGTCGTGTATTTAAAGATATGGTTATTGTGATACCCTGAACTTCAGCCCCACATCAAAAAATGGGGAAACCGAAAGGATTTATTAGATACTACATAGGATTCAAGAGCATCAATGGCTAGCCATTTTTTCGGGTGGTTTTAGCCGAACAATGTATTGAACTCAGTTGATCCCAATAATTACATCGCACTAACAGGCTCGCAAGCTTGGAGCATGACAGTAGAGTTTGGTCTCCAATGAGCTTTAAACTTTGGAGTCACTCAAAATAGCAAGAGTTTCTCGAGAAACTTGATCTATATATCTCCTCTCCACCTCTTCCCCTTTCCCGCTTTTTGCTTCTTTTGCTTAGATCATGGGAAAATTGTTTGGGTCTGCATAATGTATTTTTTTTCCTTGTTATTTTTGTGACAAAAAAGAACAAAAAGAGAATTTTCTAGGGCTTATAGATTTTTACCTTAGGGCTTATTGATCATTACCTTAAAGGTGATTGTATTGAAAGACAAAATTCTTCGAGATGAAACATCATTTCTCAATTTCAAAAGTGTAGAGAAAAGAGAGAGAAAACATTTCAATTTCTCTTAACAACACGCCTTGATTTGAGTGTTGTTGCAACTCGCCTATTTTTAAGATTTTTGTTGTTGTTACGTAACTCTTACAAGCCATAACATCCTTAAACGAAACTTGTGTGTTTGAGTTCAGAAGTAGTTAAAACTACATGGAGTTTCAATAACTCCAAACCAAACACACCCTAACAATCCTCGACAAGTGCATTAACACTTGTATTCTCAGAAAATTTTTTCCATTGACCTCACATCTAATTGAAGAGGCTAAAACAATTAAGCAATGTATGTTGGACACTAAAGAGTTACATAAATGCTAAAGTATCTCCTAATTTGGAAAGAAAAGGAAAGATTCCTTGAAGTTGTGGTCTAGAAAGTTGGGCAGTGGGCAATACATATTTCAATGGTTGCAATGAAGATCTCAAAGTGAAAGCTGAGATTACTACGCTCAAGCTTCGAAACCAACAATTATTTAATATTATGTACAAATGCACTTCTTGTCGAGTGGCTACTAGGGTGCGTTTGGCTTAGAGTTGTTGGAACTCCATACAGTTTCAACTACATCCAATCTCCAACACAAAAGTTTGGTCTAAGAATGTCACAACTCTTGAGAGTTGTAATAACAAAATATCTTCAAATAGGGGAGTTGCAACAACACCCAAACTGAGGTGTGTTGCAACAATAGAAGTTGAAATGTTTTTCTCTTATCAACAATTCTGAAATAGAGAAACAATGTTCGAGCTCTAATATTTTCTGTTTGAATACAGTCACCCCTAAAGGTAAAGATTCATAAACCTTAAAAAAAATTTCGCTCTCATTTTCTTCTATTTTCTCAATTTGGTGTCCAAAGGGTTACATGCAGAATAACACATTTAGGCTGAAAATCAACTTTGTAGAGATGAACCTATGGGTTGAAAATATGGGTATTTTGACTACATGTGTAAGTGAGATTCTATACCTGCAGAAATTACCACAAATAATATGATGAAGATAGAAGATAACAAAATTCCAAGAAAGAATAAAAAAGTTCAAGAAATCTACCTGGCTAAAAGGAAAAGGAACGAGAGAAGGGCAGACTTTTTAGGAGGCATTTGATGTTTTGAGCTATGAGGTTATGACAGATTTGATAGTTATTAAAGAAAAATGTTAAAGGTTGAGTTCGCTAACTCTTAGACGAGTTAAGACAGATTCGATAGTCTAACAAGACAGATAGATATTCAAGCATTATCAGAAAAGGGATCCTTCATATGTCAATTGTTTGCAATCAATAATAAGAATTAGGGAACTCAATCTATAGGAATATGTGATAACATATGAATATTCCTCTGAAAGAACGCTAAAAGTTTGAGAGAAATAAATTGATTTCCTAAGGGCATAATGTGACGCAACCAGGATCATCCACAATGAATATATTGCCAATATAATAAGATCTAAGGAAAGGATAGTTCATGATTTTCCATAGCAGCGAGCAAGAATTAATATGCAGGTTTATTTTATTTGATTACTGAATACTCACAGTTCGACTCGAGCAAACAACTGAAACCGGCTGGCCGACAAACTTGCAAAAAGCCTCCTGCATAAGCCCCCACATGGGAAACCCAAACTTATCAAGCGCGTTTACAACAAAACATATCAAATTTATTTATATCAAACATCCAGAATAAGGGTTGAATTCATTATCAAATTTCCACATTCTGTAAAGTTAAAAGAGAAGAAAAATCCCAGATCAGAATCAAGAATCAAGAATCTGAGCCATGATCAGTACCTCGAGAGTGCCGGTGACGGTTCTACAGTTAGGCTGCTTCTGAGAACCGAAGAAGCGAGTTCCGATATACTCGACGGCCACCAAGTACCTCTGTGCCCTAGGGTTTCGGCTCATGATCCCTTGATCCTCTTTTTGTTCCTCCTCCTCTTCTTCTTCTTGAGATCTCGAGATCTTCGAGGGTTTGGGAGATTCGGCGGGAGAATCGATGCTTGCGCTTCGTTTCCTGAGCTGGATTCATAATGTTTGGATCAAAGAGGGAGACGAAGGAGACAGCTCGGGTTAGGATTTAACAACTAACAAGGGTTTCTCGCAGTGAAGGTGTCTTGGTCCTTGTACTGTATCCTCATATTTGTCCCTTCCCTTTCTTTTTTCTTTAACTTAGTGCTTGCGCCCCGAGTTAAATGTAAAATTAGTCCTTTTTTAACTCTTTGTTAGAATTCCGTCAAATAAAAATTAAAATAACAAAACTACCCACCCAATTTATTTCTCAAAAAATAATTAGAGCCAATAGTTTACTATTAAACGTGATCTTCAACTGTTAAACATGGATTGTGGTCGGTAGAAGAACGATGTGTCTGCACCGAACAGTATATGCTTTCTAGCCACCGGCTTTCCGGCAATTGAAAAGTCAGACGTTGGTGGTTAGAGTACTAGAGAAGCTAACGGTCTCCAGCCCATACCTCAACATCCAAGGCTTACGCACTCAAGAGATTAGGGAGGGTTCGGATATGGTTGGATTCAAAGTTGCTGCTAGAATAGAAATTGTGTTCCTCTCGTCTCCTCTAAATCCTCCACCTCGTAGTCTTTCGGATAGCCTAAGTTCTAATGTTGAAAACTACAAAATAGGTGTGGAATTATTCAAATTATTGGCATTGTCAGAATCGCAAATCAAAGATGGTAGTAGATTTTGTTGGAAATTGTGGTTAAATCTGGAATAAAACAGAGAAATTATGATATGTTGTAATTTTTAAATTTTTCAATCCACTGCTGTGCGTTTGTGAAACGTTGTGCTTAAAGTAATATTTGGCCTACTCCGGTGTAAGGATCCCAAGGCCAAACTGCTTCTAGGAACAACAACACAGTACTCTGGTGTGCATCAACCCAGTACTGTCAAGATCTCATCGATCTATAAGACCTTTCGGTCAAGGCAAAGATCTTCTCGATCTCAGAACATTTCGGTTCAAAAGCTTTTGGTTTAAGGGCAAGTTCCTGCGGGCATAGTTTTTACAGCAGCAGTACAACAACAGCAAAAACATTGATCCGACGTTTGTTTTCCAAGCTTGCGTGTGTATACTGATGTTCGTATTCCACGCTCGCGAGTGTATACCGACGTTCATATTCCACGCTCACGAGAGTCAATTCATGAGCTGCCCAAGGACACTATTTATAAGCCTCTAATGCCAGCTCAAGAGTCACTCGCAATTAATGTGACTGTTACAATTCTCAATAGCAATTAAGATTGTAACATCAATGCATTAAATTGCAATTAATGCTGTTGTAAATGATACATACCGTAACTCCTAAATACGAGGCAATCAATGGACGCGTTGTTACGAAACGCGAGGGTCACATCTTAGCAAATCAGACGAACCTCTTTTGACAAATGAACCTCATCAAACAGGCGAACCTCGTATGACAGACGAACCTCGTCGAATGAGCGAACATCGTCAAACAGGCGAACCTCATATGACAGACGAACCTCGTCGAATGAGTGAACATCGTCAAACAGGCGAACCTCGTATGACAGACGAACCTCGTCGAACAAGCGAATCTCGTATGACAGAAGAACCTCGTCGAACGAACGAACATCGTCAAACGAGCGAACCTCGTCAAACTACGAGAATGCTAGGGTCACACCCTCGTGCGAATGCGTAGCTCGTCCGCATGCTGCGCAGCAGCCTGCGAGGCCACCTCCGTGGCACCAAACAGCGTCACCTCGCCCCGATGCCTCCGTGCGAAGTGCAAAGTGCGTCTAACAAAGCGCCACTTAGCGTCTCAGCCCGATTATCCCCGATCCTCGGCCCATGGCCCATGACCCACGATAACTTATGAGTGATTAATTCAAATAAAACATTTCTCGGCTTGCCGTTGGCAAGCCTCGAACAATGGACCTTTTGAAATACCAAAACATAAACTTTCCACTAGGCTACTAAGCATTTATGAAAAGTACTTGTAGTTAATATATATATATATATATATAGTTTGAAAACTCATTTTGGAAAGCGGTTTTGACTAAAAAATCCAACAGATTTCTATATCATTGTCAAAGTGGACAAAATGGAGTAATTCAGTTCTTCATTTTTCCTACTGTTTTGGAATTTCTTGAATCAAATATCATGGTTCTAGGATCCATACCTACACCAAGTCTATTTGCGATATTCCTATAGTTGCAAGGTTAAGGAAACATCGAATTATCAAATTTTCACTTTTCTAGTCAAGATTTAGTGTTGGTAAAATTGATTTGGTTGGATGTGTAGATGTTCATTGCTGGGCAAGGAAAAGCTTAGATTGATTTTAAATGGCCTCAAAAGTGTTCTAAATCGAAAGTACATGGACCTATTGAGGGTATTGTGGTCATAAAAGAAAAATTAACACCTATTTTTAATGGATGTTAAAAAAAGACTTAATTGGTAACTGAAGTGAGGTTGTAGGCTGTCTAAAAATCATAATGGATAGCTGATCCCCACGAGATTACAAGGCAATGGTTCCTTCAAATCAAGAAGCAGAATTCATCCTTACAATCAAAACAGAAGAGATTTCTAAATCATTGCATTCGTGGCATTATAATCGCTACAAACACGGCCTCATATTTGAGATGATTGATCTTGATGGCTGCGACAACAACATGACTAATATTATATTAGTAACTATTAGAGATGCTGATGAGCAGTATGATGATTTCAGAAATAAAAGGTTGGACTTAGTTGGTGAGTTGCTTGATAGAGAGCTGTGGAAAAATATTCGTCTAAATATCACAATTGATCCCCATCAAGTTCCAACAATGAAAGCTACAATCAGATAGCTTTCATGCCAACAAACGAAAGCTGCAAACGGAGGACTTTTCACATAGATCGAGAAGAGTTACAATTCAATGACACTTCCGACAACTGATGAAATTTCACATAGATCGAGAAGAGTTACAATTCAATGACACTTCCGACAACTGATGAAAACTCTATTCAGTAGTCTTCACAATCTACAGTGAAAATTACAATCTGACGATTTTCACACTCCACAACAGCTAAAGCTAGGATTACTGAACAACGGTCCTTGCAACACTCTGTAGAAGAGGTTACAGATCAACTAACCCCTTTTAAAACACGGAAGTCATCCCCGTGTTACAATTCTGGAAGTGCAGGCGACCCCCGCGTTTCCAAGCTACAACAAGTCAAAAGCGAACGACCCTCGCGTTCTTGAGGTTCAACCAACACCCGACCCCAGCGTTTCCAAGCTGCAACAAGCAAAACACGAGCAACCCTCGCGCTCATTGATGTTCAGTCAACACCCAACCTCGCGTCTCAATTCCAAGACGCGAAGTTGGGGTTCTGAACGCCAGATTGGGCGTTTGACTCGTTCAAACATGAGTCGAACGGTTTCAGAACTGTTTTCTCCATGATCTGAGAAAATCACGCCCACTTAGGAGCGGATTTAGAGGGCAGTTACAACCTCTTATCCACCTATAAAATCTCAACAAACTCAACTGAGTTAGGGCTGGCTTTTTGGGAATGGAGAGGCAGCAGGTTGGATTTTTAGCATCTAAACCGCATGGGTTTGGAGGTTCCTCAGGATCTCAACCGCACAGAGAGGCAGGGGAGACGAAATCCTTGGAGATAGGATTTTTGAATCGATTTTAGAAGATCAAGTCTGAAAGGATTCTTCAACAACAGAATATCTGCTTGGTCATCAACCGAATCTTTGGTTCTAACAACTCTATTCACAGAGTTCTAACTCGTTCAGAGTTCTTAAACTCGTTAAAGAGTTACCCATCAAACTTTCCACAGAAGTTCATTGTTCTCACGAGATAAAAGACGGTCGGATCGTCAACGGAGAGCAAACTCGACGCGAGCATTCGAGGGAGGCACTCCATCGCCACCGTAAAGAACCCAGTTTTAAACAAAGGGGAGAATCAAATTCGTTCTCTTCTCTTTTGTAATCAGGAAATCCAACTGTAATTGATTTAGAGAGAATACAAGTCAATTTTTCTTTCTTTCTTTTACATCGAATTTTTCCAACAAACAAAAGATGGCGACTCCGCTGGGGAAAAGCTTTTCTGACGAAGAAGTGGTGGCGCAGTCCGACGTCCATCTCATGGGAACAACTGTTGAAACTCTCGTCGTAGAGTTTGACCAAGCAAAATACGAGGAAGCCCTCTCCTCTGGATCGCTTAGCCCCAAGGCCAAGCGTGATGTCCGCAGGATCTCCAAGGATGTCAAATCTGTTGCTGAAACGCCAAAGAAAGTCCTCTCCTTTGGCCAAAATTCGTCGAACAACCCCTCTTCTTCACGAGCGGGCTCGGCCTCTGTTGAACTCGCACAGCGAGTTGAATATCCCACATCCGCGTCAGCACAACATTCTTCAGGCCATAAATGGCCTATAGAGGAGACGAGCTCCATAAACGTCAACGACGCTGCTGCTAAGGCTTTGAAGCAAGCCAAGAAGAACGCCGCTCGCAGACGGAGAAGATCCATACGACGAGCACACCTGCGCGAAAGCCGAATGTTGGCCCAACGCGAGGATCGCGTTCTTGAAACTTTACCCGAGCATAGTGTTCCCAAAACAGAACGATCTCTTCGCGGCAATGAGCCCGACTACGAGCCTCGGCTGATACAGCTGAAACGTGACCCTGAATGGCGCGTTGTTTCTTCAAAACATAGCCCTCAGAAGGAATCTGCCAAAGATAAACGCGGCCCTCACGTGCGCGTTCAAACAGAACATGACTCTCAAAAGTCTGTTTTACCAACCAAACGCGACCCTCAGGGGCGCGTTCAACCAAAACATGACCCTCAGGGGTCTGTTTCATCATTTAAACGAAGATCTCGGCCT